CAGGTTACATTTTATCTCAATCCATGCATTTTTCTATTCTTGTATTTTTTAAATAGTTGTCACCTTCAAATGTGGCCTAATTCTATCTTTTCAAACTAATTTAGATTCGGGAGGGGGGGCGCTCCTACAGGACATTCAGGTTACATTTTATCTCAACCATGCATTTTTCTGTTCTTATATTTTTTTAATAGTTGCCACGTTCAAATGGGGCATAATTCTATCTTTTCAAACTAATTTAGATTCCTTCGTACTCCAACTCAAGGACCCAGAAATACTGGAAACCTGCCGGCCGGGAATCCAGCACTAGTACCTTTGAGCCTGTGACGGGGCTGCCCAACATTTCCATTTATTTTCCAAGATAAAAACAAGCAAAAGGGTTCCTGACGAAGCACACAGCAAAAGAGAGCGGAGCCAGAGCAAAATTTAAGATAGTTCACACAGCTGAAAATCTGAAGATGTTCAGAGAGCTGAAAAAGCAAAGATAGTTCAGAGAGCTGACAGAAAAGAGAAGTCCTACGAAGCCCTAGAAAGGTTCTTAGCAGCGATGTCATAATGAACTCGTCTCCTTCCTCCAGCGGGCCTTCGACACGTGCCACCCGTCTTTTCCCCCATCCATCTCCCACGTCTGCTGTCTGACGTGCGCCCACCTTTACTGCCCCGAGCTGGTACATATACACAGATAACTAGATAAGCGTGCCCCTTCTCCACCTCGCTGTGGAGATGGATTCCCGTCCGGGGTGGCACTGTTGCGTCTCCAGCGAGGGGCCGAGTCACTGCGAATTAACCTCACATCAAGTCATCAATCACCCCCTCCCCCACCAACTTCCCCCGAGCTACAGTACAGAGAGAGAGAGACTCAAACGGGTGGCTGAGCTAGTGATCTGTGGTGATTGACAGTTGATAGGTGAGAGATTGGGTGGAACCAGGAATTTCTAGAGAGAGCGAGAGACTTAAGCACCGTGCAAGCAAAGCATACGATCAGACATCCCTCTGCTGGCGGCAAAAAATAACAGGAGAGAACACGGAGAGAGAGAGAGAGAGAGAGAGAGAGAGAGAGAGAGAAAGAAGGGGAGGAGGTAGAAAGGAGATGGGTCGGGGGAAGGTGGAGATGAGGCGGATCGAGAACAAGATAAGCCGCCAGGTGACGTTCGCGAAGCGCCGGAACGGGCTGCTCAAGAAGGCCTACGAGCTATCGCTGCTCTGCGACGCCGAGGTCGCCCTCATCATCTTCTCCGGCCGCGGCCGCCTCTTCGAGTTCTCAAGCTCCTCATGGTACGTAACTAAGTCAGCGCTCGTTGTTCCGGCAGCATAGATCGGGCACCTACAAAGACTTCTTTCACTTAGTTCGGCGCAGGTTTCATGGTCCAATCAATTCGGTTTAGGTTAATTCAGATCCGCCTTTCTTTACTCTCTCTTTCTCTCTCTCTCTCTCTCTCTTGGTTTTGACCCTATCGGTTCATCATCTTTTCCCGTCTCTTCTGGTCGACTAGATCAATGGGTTCATCAAGATCTGGCCAAACAAACCTCTGATTTTCTTGCCTTCAGTTCAGTCAACCAAGAAATATGACAAAACACCCGTATATATTCTCCAACAAAACTGACGACTGCCCCTTTTCTGTGGAGCATTGCAGCTGTGAAAATTAAGGTCAACTGAAGCAGATAGTGTTAAGCATCGGATCTGTTTACCACATCAATCTTGAGGTTTTCTTGAGTTCGCGACCGACAGCTATATATTCAGCACTTGCTTGTACTGTACATTTTATCATAATTACTTACCTTACTTGGTATAATCGGCAAGAACAAGAAAGCGGTCCATCAAGTTGCTCCTCATTCCTTCATATTTAGAGCATGCTACTCACAAGATCTCTATCTCCTCCCATATATGCTCATCAGATCCGTATATTTCTCATCCAAAAAGGTAAATCCAGTACACGTACTGCAGTGAGATCTGTGGCTTGGCTTACTCTAAGATTCTAGAGAGCTTGGCTTCGGATATGGTGAGATCTGTGATCCATTTTACTGTTCCATTAGTTACTGTTCCATTGAGGGCAGCAGCAGCTCGATCCCCGGTAGTTAATCTATCTTCACTGAGCCCCGTGTAGAACTACCCGTTGTTGCTTGCACTTACTGCCGAACCGTACGCCAGGGATGTGAAGTGAACTTTCTCATCACACGTCATGTCAACAAATTAACAAGCAACCCATATAGCTTGCATGCAATATACCGATTGGAGTAGTATTTACACCCATGCATGTGAACTGATGCATGCACAATACATTGTAAGTATTATACAGTATATCGTCATACATGTGAGAAATTTAATGCATACACAGATATACTAACTCCCACTCTCTCACGAGGATCGTATTTCTAAGCGCAATTATGTTCTACCAGATCGTGTACGTATTTGTGAAAAGAAAATTACGGATATTGAACTAGACCTAAACACATAAAACTTGCTGCAGAATGTTTTAGCTAGCAAATCGTAAAGCACAAAACTTACTACCAATACATGCTCGCTTAGCTAAGTAATCCATAGTTACAATAAAGCTTCCAAAAGATACCAAAACAAACGCTTGACCTTGAGGGGCGTGTGTAGTTACCAAATACATATGTCTACTTCTGAAATGTAAAGCCCGTAGTACAAAGAGCCTTGTACATTGAGATGGCTGAAAAAGTCTGGACCAATGAAAAAGCCATCCGAAGACATCTTTGCCCTCATTGAGTTGAGCATTTGCAAATGGCGCATAGTTGGACACTCTATTAATATAGGACAACATTAGGCTGTTCGAACTCAATATTAGGTACCTCTAGAACACAAAAACACTTATTTCTAGCAACTTCAAAAATATGTGGAAAGGGATA